ACGTTTATATTCTGCAGAAAACAACAGTATTTCTTAAAATAACTCAGATAAATCTATGTAGTTTTTGTTATTAATGATTTCAAGAAGCCAGGAAAATGACAGCATAAAAACCTACTCACCTTGAAAATATTTTTGAAATAGATTTTGAGCCAGAAAATTGGTTCTTTATTCATGCAACAAGACATGTTCAGATGGGAGGGTATCTAATCTATCTATTAACATAAGATATTGATTCCTGGCGCTATCTATTTTGTTTATAAATCACTAAATAAAAGTAGCCAGGAAAATGACAGATTTTCATGGGACAAACAAATTATTGACAGAAAATTTTTTTTTAAACGTTAGTAAACAATACCCTATAAAGTTTTAGTAAACAATACCCTCTGCGTATATTCTAGAAATGCTTACATAGGATAAGATAAAAAAAATTAGAATTTGAAAAATGCATGGAAAATTTTGAAGCTAGTTATTATTGGAAATATTGTTTGGGACATGCCAGGAAAATGACATTTTGATATTCGATTTAATTTTTTAAGTATACAAAACAGTCAATGCTGGTGCAAAGTCATTTTAAAATGCTAATAGCAATGCTATTTATTAAATTTTTTTTTAAAGAAAGTTATTTTAGTATTATAGTATTAGATCTTGGAGCAAGGGACAGTGAATTGTCATGTTTCGTGAGAATCACCCATATATGATATATCTTATTCAAATTTTCAATCGTTAATAAAAATAGTTTTTATTTATCTATTCAAGTGACTTGATGTTAATGCAGTTTTTTCGCATATTAATTCATTAATTTAAACTTAATAAATAAATTTTAGATTAGATTTAGAATTAAATTTAGAGAAAAATTTTTCATTGTTTAATAAAAAGTACCTAAAATAAAAATTTTCTTTGTTGACTTATCTAGGAATTGACTTTAAAAAAAATTTTTTTTAATATATTACTTTTTTATTCATAATACAACTGACCTATTACCCACTTTGAAAATTTTCTGAGTAAAAAGTGCCTTTCGATCCAAATAACATTACTCGAATACGAAATTGCTCCTTCTATTAAACTAGTAATATATAGTTCGTAATATTTTTTTCTCCAAAAATTCAAATTTTTAATTGTATATTTTGCACAAAATACAAAACCTTGTAAAAATTTCAGGGAAAAACATACACAAAGTATTTTTTTTAAAACTACATATCAGTATAAAAAATACATTTGACAGTACCTTTTTTAGAACTTGATAGCACTTTACAAATCGAAAATCTGAAATCTGGTTTTAAATAAAAAGTAATTTTTATAAGGCATTTTTCTAAAAATTCTGTGCAGTAAGTGAGACCCCAGCTGTCAAGATAAAGTTTGCACGCCACGGCACTTTTACATAGGAGACAATTTGGGGAAGAAAATCCGTTTAAATTACCGACAAGACAGTCATGGCTGGTTTCAAATCTGGAGGCAGCAAATGCCTGTCCGTCTTGCAAACTTTGGTAGACTTTTAACTCCAATTCTCTCCAATTTTTATCTTTAATTTCTTCTAAAGGCTTATTTTAATAGTTCTTATTACAAGTATTTATGATTATTTTCTCCAATAACAAAGGATTCCCTTTTTCAAAAATTGCGTTACATTTGTAGTTTTTTCCTTTTTTTTTTTTACTAAAAAATGCATTATTTTATCTCTATGGACTTTTATTTAATTTGTATTCCATCAACTTATGCTCATACCGAATTTCATTTCTGTCCTTTACTTTTGGAGACAATCCTTTAAGTCTGAAAATTTTCTACGTACTGAACACCTGTATAAATAGTCCTCCTTAAATAATGCAAAATTAATAAATAAATAAAATAAAATATTGGAAGAGCAAAAAAATTGGACTGATATTCAGCATTTGTTGTTCGTTATCCCATTCCTTTCAATATTTCAGTTTTTAACATTTATTTCAGCAATCCAGTTTCCTAAAAGACATTTTCATTTGTTGTTTGTTGTCCCATTCCTTTCAATAATTCAGTTTATAACTTTTATTTCAGCAATCCAGTGTCCTAAAAGACATTTTCATTTGTTGTTTGTTGTCCCATTCCTTTCAATAATTCAGTTTATAACTTTTTCAGTAATCTAGTGTCCTAAAAGACATTTGCATTTGTTTGTTGTCCCATTCCTTTCAATAATTCAGTTTATAACTTTTTCAGTAATCTAGTGTCCTAAAAGACATTTGCATTTTATGTTTGTTGTCCCATTCCTTTCAATAATTCAGTTTATAACTTTTTCAGTAATCTAGTGTCCTAAAAGACATTTGCATTTGTTGTTTGTTGTCCCATTCATTTCAATAATTCAGTTTATACCTTTTATTTCAGCAATCCAGTGCCCTAAAGGACAACAACAGTAATGATCCAAGAGGAGGCGCTCAAGTGCCCAGAGATGGTGATGGTGCGGGCCACAGATCTTTATTCGGATGGCTAAAGAGACAACCCATCTACCCTCATAGCAGGCAGAGGTTGTCCAAGGTCATCGACAACGTCTCGAAGATCCTCTTTCCACTGTCGTTTGGACTCTTCGTTCTCGGATACTTCCTCACATACGCAATCATAAAACCCACGCACTCAGAAAACTGGGAACTGTTGAGCAATGGATACACGTACTGAATTGATGTGTTTGCAACTCTTCCAGTGACTGTAGTTTAAAAAGACACTTCGCGTTTGTCTTTTGCTGGTATCGAATGCTCTTGACACCAAGTACCCAAAGTCACTTTATTTAAATCACTTTCTATTCAAAATGGTGGATAGTTTTGGGCTACGTAGACAAAAGCAAAAAACAACGTGAATAGCGTACATACAAAGTACAGAAATGGAAATACTGTAGTTTCGATTCTATGAACAAAAATCTTCCTCTCCAAAAGTGGGTGTTGTGGAGAACAAAAATTACAGTATACCCATTTTTGTGGTTTAGTCACGTTATTATTTGCTTCAGTCACTTTCTATTTATAAGACTTACGACAAGCCACATAACAAGAGCTGTTCTTGTTGTTTCATTTCAACTGAAATCCAAATGCTGAATTACAGATGCATTGTTAGGTGCATATGGGGGCCAAGAAGTTGGAAGAATCCTATTACGAGCTTTCTCAACTTACTGTAAGAAGGGTGTATGAGTGTCGAAAGAAAACACCATATGATGATAAGTGCGTTACTATGGGCCTCATCCCATTGTGGCCACTTACGAATTGCCACACTTACCTGATGTTTAATCTTCTGCTTACGGCTGGTACAACATGTGGACATCATGTAATGGTACTTTTGGTACATCGTAACTTGGAGCACTGTAAGCAAATGGTTAATTTAATTTTTTGCTTACGGTGCTTAGTATGATGAAGCCATTCTGGTACACTTATTGTACGAGTCATAAGCAAAAGGTTAATTCAAATTTTTGTGATAGAAAATATTTTATCGGTATAATTAAGGAATTTATCCAGTTTTTCTCTGCTTCATACGGCAATTGAGACTTAGGTGTAGCTTTTTATCTTTCAATTAAAGTAATAAGAAATCAAATAATGCATAGTGTAGCACGGTCGCGTATTTATTTATTTATTTTTAATTCGTTGCTACTTCTTTTTCTTTTATCAAAAAAAAAATATATATATATTGTAAATTGAAAGACTTAGATTCAGAAATAGCAATTCTATTTTTGAATTATTTTGAGGAAACACTTGTTTAGACTTAAATATTCATTCAATTTGTTGTAATAAAAACTAAATTTTAAAAAAAAATAATAATTAAAAATTTACAGTAACTTTATAGTTTGTGTAATCTAAGAACTTCGCCAGCCACAAAGGCTGAGGCCGTCTGGTGCTATGGAAACAAGAATGGCGCATTTTAGGAAGGGTAGCTACACTCTAGGACTAACACAATAGACCGAAGAGATTCCCTTTCTTTCGACGACCCAAGCCGAAACCACTCTAAAACAGTGACTCCACACTCCTACTTGAAATGGTCATACCTCGTTACCATGGTCACCGCCACAGCTCCAGACGAATGTCTGGCGGAGTTCTTATTTTAGACAAACTATAGCTACTCCTGAGTTCTTAATAGAAAAGAAATATTTTTAAGAAAGGTTAGCAAATTTATTAAAGAATCCTGTGTTGTTTCATTCTCCAATGTTTTATCGTTTTGTTCATATGCAATTTCAAAACCAAAACACTTAAACTAGGAAGTAGCTCTGGGTTCATTTTTCTCTTTTAAAATGACGATAAAACATTGCCGAGACATAAGACTGAAAATCGTCTTATCAGTCCATTTTTACACTGTAACATTTTTAATGGAAAACATATGCTTTCTCGATACATGTAATACTTTTCGGTAAAGTGGAACTTATTTGAAAAATGCCCGATGAGTAGCATTGTCTCCCCCAATGAAGAACCCTCATTTTATGAAAGAGAACACACTTTGCTATGCGAAGTAAATTACATATCATATACCTATTACATATAAATATTATTAAAAAAAACACTAATCCTGAAATCTTGTGCACCCTAAATAAATCCGGGGCTGGTATTCTGATCTCGGAATCCGCAGTTGATTTTAGCGTTTGCAAGTTGCACCAGGCTTTGGAAGCTGCACGTGTAATTCTACTTTCCCCGATTTTTGGTATTCCAATATATATTTTAATTGGACGTATGCGATCTCTTTAGGTGATGTGAAAACCAATGGTTATTGCTGCTATAGGGGAAGTTTGTGTGTGCAATGTTTTACTGATGAACTAGTAGCTGAGTATCCGTTCCTCGTACTGGGTAAAAAAAATATGTATATTGGTGAGGATGATATGAAGTTGAACATGAGTTGAAGTGATGACATGAGTTTTAACCCCTAGCGCCATCTGTACTTAGATTTACACGGTAAACCATCCATAACCAGTCGTTTTAGCGTCAACTAAAGAGACCGCATAAGTCTGATTGAAACTAGATTGGAGTACCAAGCATTGAGTTGCAGGCGAGGACAGTAGAATGTCAATTACAGCGCCTCCTGGTGAGGCTACGAAGCGACTGTCAATTTCGAGGTCAATACCAGCCCTGGAGAGTCCCAAACATGCAAGAATGGAAAAGCCTATCAATGTTATTATTAACCAAACGGGACGTTAGTTTTTTTTTTTTTTTTTTTTTNTTTTTTTTTTTTTTTTTTTTTTTTTTTTTTTTTTTTTTTTTTTTTTTTTTTTTGTCTGAATATCCATTGGGAAATGAAATGAAGAATGGGTAAACAAGGCGTCCGAAAACCTTGTCAAAACCTTTTCATCACTATATCCGGGGCAGAGTGTCTAAAGAGAAACTAACTATTAATAATTATATTTAGAACAGTGTTCCTTAACCTTTTTGATATAATGGACCCCTTTTGAAAATTTTTAAGAAGTTACGGACCACCCCCCTGTGAAAAAAATAATTGCAAAAAACGTCAATTATTAGAAAACATTTAATTTTATTATTTTAATAGTATACAAAATTTTTAAAATTAAAATTTTTAATGTGAAGGCTGCTGCTGCTTTTCCTTACGTAACAAATTGAATTCGGGGATGGTTTTCAACGAAGCAAACGGGCATATCATGTTCAACATTCAATCGATTTCGATGTTATGTTTTTATTGTCACAATTGTGGAAGATCCCGCTTCGCAAAGATACACTGTAGCAAACGGAATTATAGCTGCCATAACTCGCTTTACAAGCAATGGGTAGGCTTCCAAACGTTTTAAAAATTAGGAGTAGTCAGCGGACCCCTAAAATATAACTCATGGATCCCTTAGGGCAGGGTTTCTTAACCTGTGGTTCATGAACCCCTAAGGGGTCCATGAGTTATATTTTGGGGGTCCGCTGACTACTCCTAATTTTCAAAACGTTTGGAAGCCTACCCATTGCTTGTAAATCGAACAACGGCAGCTATAATTCCGTTTGCTACAGTGTATCTTTGCGAAGCGGAATTTTCAACACTTGTGACAATAAAAATATAACATCGAAATCGATTGAATGTTGGACATGATATTCACGTTGCTTTGTCGAAAACCATCCCCCAATTAAATTTATTAATTAAGGAAAAGCAGCAGCAACCTTCACATTAAAAATTTTAATTTTAAAAAGTTTGTATATTATTAAAATAATAAAATTAAATGTTTTCTAATAATTGATGCTTTTTGCAATTATTTTTTTTCACAGGGGGTGGTCCGTGACTTCTTAAAAATTTTTAAAAGGGGTCCATTATATCAAAAAGGTTAAGAAACACTGCCTTAGGGGTTCATGAACCACAGGTTAAGAAACCCTAATTTAGAATAATTATTTTTACCTAATCAACATTTTACATGCATACTTCTACGTTTTGTAAATCACTGTTCATTTAGTCCTTCAAGGCATACAAACAAATACCAGGCTAGGAAATGTCATCGTACGCCACTAGGAGTCCCTCCCTATTATGAACTGCTCCTTCGTGAGTTTCTGTACTGTTCATAATAGGGAAGCGCTAACTTCCGATGAAAGTTTTGATCATGGGTTCTTATTCAATTTTAACCCTTATTATGTACCCTATTTCCCCTTGAAATGCGCTGTAACAGTTAGGCGACGCCCTTATTACATATAATGTTTTTAAACGTATGCATGTCGACAAAGAATAGACTAAACGTTTCAATTTTTTTTTAAAAACTGTAGCTTTTGGTGAGAGAAACCGATAGCAGATTTGAAATATACAGATACGTGAAAATATTCATTAAAAAATTTCGCGCAACGAAAACAAAAAAAAAATTTTTTCCCTATTGTTATTTACCAAATTTTGATAATTCATTTTTTTTTCATTCAATTTCTCATTTTTTATTTTTTTTAAAAATATCCTCTAACATTGTAGGCTTTTATCATTTCATTCTTGCAAGCATCCTGTAAATGTGCGTCATTACAGACTGTATGCGATCACGGAATTCCATCCTGTATAGTATAGTAAAACAATTTGATTTAAGTCCAGTATAGTAAGAGATGACTACCTTCCTATTATTAAAAACTTAAAAAACTCTATTTTAGGTTAAATTTCAGTCCACCCCCCCCCCCCCAANAGGTTAAATTTCAGTCCCCCCCCCCCCCCAAATAATAATTTTTAATGGTGGCGTAACATTGCACCGTTTTGAAAAAGACAGCACTGTAATTTTTCTAAACGGCGGTAAATAAAGGGCTCGTTTTATAAGATTAGCAAATATAAGCGCTAGATAATTTGAAATCTTCCCAAAATTTGAAAGCAATAAATTTATGCAATTAGAAACTCAGTGCTGTACATTTGTCTACTGTCATTCACATACTTATATTTTTATTTATACCAATAAAAAGTGATTCGTTAAAAAATGCTCTTACCGCAAATTTTGTAAAAACAAATATTTTGCTCAAAAATAAAACAGACAAATGTAAAACTAAACAGAGGGATTGATCATAGAATGGTACCAGTATAATATTCACAGAAAAAAAATTTAATCAAAATTCTAGGGTAAAGCCATTTTTTTTACCATTTTAATTAGGCGACGACCTCGTACTTTACATATTTCTGCTGAGTTAAATCCAACATCAGTTTATTACGGAAAAATGATTCGAAACATATTTAAGTCCTTTTGGTCCTACCATACTCCGTTGCAAGTTAAGAAACGGCCATTTCAGTATAGAATTTAAGTAATCATCCACATAGTTCTGTTTTATTTCATTATCAAATTCAACAAACAGGCTTGCAAAACAATATAAAAGCTGTTAAAATTTAAACACGCTAGTCAGAAATTTAAATCGTGCTTATCTTTTACGATATATGCCATAGAATTATTTTAAAAAATATATATCTATAGTTTCGTAGTCTTACTGGAATCCTGACATATGTCGATAACGAAGGAGATCATTCGTTCTAGAAAAAGAAACAACTATATGACGTTGCAAGGTCATTGGATTGGATTAGTCCACTACAAATGACGCGTCTTATGCTGACCTGCTCTTAACAAATCAAATGCGAGATAAAGAATTTTTTTCTTTTGTTTTCCTGTAAAAGAAAATCGTCTGCAAGATACAATATTTACTATTTAAGAGTCTCTTTAAATGCGAATTGAAAGACGTATATTTGTGACGATTTTTAGATATCATTTTCATTCATTCTTAATACTTGTTAATTGATTATTGTTGTTAATAAGGAAGCAAGCAAAAAAAAGAGGCTATGCAACATCGTTTCCAGAATTAGCGATGTCGATATACATTCTCGCTGGGAGCTTGGCGCCCATATGGCGTGCATTTAGATGCCAACAGGCTCTCTCCGTAGGACTAAGTTTTTTTTTTTTCTTAACTTTCAACAAAGTATAACAGCGAACATTTTTCTCTCCAAAGTTTCCATATCAAAAATTACGACCACCAAAGAGAGACTGTTTCAGAAAAAAAAAACTATTTATGCCTCATGTGACTTTGCAGTTTCTCTTTACAATTTCCTTAAAGCGTCTCGTTTTAAACCTAAAAATAATCTATTTTTTTAAAAAAAAAATAAAGAGGAAAACAAGTACCATAGAAACTATTGTCATCCTCTTGAGTAGTGAAATACTAGAAACATGTATCTTCTATATATATATATATATATCTGTAAATAAGCGTCATATGTTTTCCATGAAATAGCTGCGCTCTATTCTTCATAAAATCGTGATAACATAAGATAATAAATAGATTATGAGATTATACATATTATATATACATAATATATATGTGTATATAAATATATATATGTCTAATGTATGTATATGTATATTACACATACAGTCCCTATAGTCTAATAATTTGTCTAAATTATTAGATGCAATATAAGATTCTATGCAAAATCGTAATTATCAGGTGATAGGGGAGAGTGGGGTCAATTGTAACATTTTTTACTTAACTATTTTTAACTAACAAAAAATCCATGTGGTTATCAGGAAAGTAC